ATGGCGCGCCCTTGGCCCGCTCGGCCTCCCCCCCCAGCCGGTCCAGGAGACTCTGCTCCTGCTGCCGCGTCTGCAGTAGCTCCTGCTCCTTCTGCTGCACGGCGGCCAGGTGGGCCTTCTCCTCTGCCGCGATCCGCTTCTGCGCCGCCTCCCGCGCCAGCTGGATCTGCCGCTCCGACTCCTTCTCCGCCAGCTCCTTCTGCCGCCTGGCCTCCTCCACCATGGCCTTCAGCCGCTCCACCTCCTCCAGGGCCAGCCGCCGCTGCCGCCCAGCCTCCTCCTCGGCCGCCAGGATGGCCTGCACCTTCTCCTCAGCCTCCCGCCGGCGGCCCTCCTCCTCCAGCGCCAGCGCCCGCTGCCGCTCGGCCTCCCACTCGGCCTGCTCCCGGCTGCGCTGCACCTCCTCTGCCTCCCCGCGGATGCGGCTCAGCTCCCGCTCCAGGTCGGTCTTGCCCGCCGAGGCCTTCTCGAAGCTGACCTTCAGGGCACGGATCTCCTCCTCCACCTGGCGCCGCTGCCGCAGCATGTCCTCCACCAGGCCCTTCTGCCGCTCCAGCTCGCTCTCCGAGGACCGCTTCAGCAGGGCGATCTTCTCCTCGATGTCCTGCTTGTGCTGGGCGGCCTGCTCCTCCAGCAGCTTGCGCTGGTAGGCCTCGTCCTCTGCCAGCCGCCGCAGCCGCTCGTTCTCCGCCTCCTTCTCCTTCAGGGCAATCTCTGCCTCCGCCTTCAGCTGTGAGGCCTCGTTGATGGCCGCCAGCTTCTCCTTCAGGATGCGCTCGGCCTCGGCCCGCTGCCGGCCGGCCTCGTCCTCCGCCAGCTGCCGCTGCCTCTTGGCCTCCTCGGAGAGGGCCCGCAGCCGGGCGGCCTCCTCGGCCAGCTCCCGCAGCTTGCTGGCCTCGGCCTCCAGCCGCTGCTTGGACTTCTCGCTGGTGGAGCGCGACTCCTCCTCCGTCTTGGCCTTGCTCTCCAGCAGGATCTCCATCTCAGCCCGCAGCTTGGCCAGCTCCTCCTCCACCTCCTTCCTCTTCTGGATGGCCTCGCTCACCTCCTTCTTCAGCCGGAAGAGCTCCTCCTCCAGGAGCAGGCGCTGCTGCTCCCTGTTCTCCATCTCTGCCTTCAGCCGGATCAGCTCCTGCTCCGCCGCCAGCTTCTGCTGGGCCGTGCCCTCTGCCAGCTCCCGCTGCTTCTCCAGCTCCTCCTCCGCCAGCTCCTTCTGCCGCAGGGCCGACTCCTCCGCCTTGGCGCGCTTGCGGGCCTCCCGCTCCGCGTCCTCCTTCTGCTTCTCCGCCTCCTCCTGCGCCAGCGCCTTCTTGTGGGCCACCTCCTCCGCCTGCAGCCGCAGCCGCAGCGCCTCGTTGGCCTTCTGCTGCCAGCGCTCCAGCTCCTTCTCGGCCTCCTCCCGTGACTGCTCGGCCTCCAGCTGCTGCTTCTTCAGCCGCTCGGCCTCCTCCTGCAGGTGGGTCACCGTGATGTGCTCCTGCTGCAGCGACAGCTCCAGCTGCGCTGTCTTCTCGGCAAAGGACAGCCTCTTGCTCTGCAGCTCGGCCTCGGCACTCCGCTGGGCCACCTCCTGGGCCACCTGGATCTGCCGCTCCTTCTCGGCCTCCGCCTGCCGCATCCGCCGCTCGGCCTCCTCCGCCTGCAGCCGCAGCTTCTCCAGGTCCGCCAACGCCTTCTGCTTCTCCCGCGCCGCGTCCCGCTCGGCCTGCACCTTGCGCTTCAGCTCCTCCTCCGCCTCCCGCTTCTTCTGGCTCTCCTCCTTCACCTGCCGGCGCAGGCGCTCGGCCTCCTCCTGTGCCTGCCTCTTCTGCCGCTCGGCATCCTCAGCGCGCACCCGCAGCTCCTGCAGCTCCGTCTCGGCACCCACCCGCTGCTTCTCGGTGCTCTCCAGCTGGAGGCGGATGAGGCGGATCTCCTCCTCCACCTTCTTGCGGTTATACTCGGCCTCCTCGATCAGCTTGACCTTGGACTTGATCTGGTGGTCGGAGTTCTGCCGCAGCTGCATCAGCTCCTGCTGGATGTTCTGCTTCTGCTGCTCAGCATCCACGGCCACCACCTCCCGCCGGGTGACCTCCTCCTGCATGCGGAGCTGCAGCTCCCGCGCCTCCGCCTCCGCCTGCGCCTTGGCTTTGGCGTGGGCCTCGGCCAGCTGCCGCTGCTTCTCCAGCTGGGCCTCCACCTCCGCCAGCCGCTTCCTCTCCTCCTCCTTCAGCTTCTCGGCGGCTTTCTGGAGGGGAAAGAGGGTGCAGAAAAAACAGAGAGGGGAGAGAGAGAGAAATCACAAGGGATGCGACCGAGCCGCGGCGTCAACGCCAGCCACAACCACGCACCACCAAGAGACAGGACGGTCCGGGGCGGAGGGGTGGAGGATGCGCATGGAATGGCTTCGGGTCCCTGGGCCTCCCCACGAGCTGGAGGCAGTGATGCCAGCTTCCAGAAGACGTACGGCAGACAGGGGACACACGACTACCGTGTCTCACTTAGCACAGCGTGGGCGACAGGACCGAGACAGCAGTGCAGGAAGCGGGATGGCCCAAGTACCACAGAGAAGGGATGGAGCACGAGCAAAGCTGGAGGCGATGGAGACGGATGCGAGCAGCTTGCACACCACCACCGTGCCCACTGCCCTCCGGGGAGAGCCCTGCCCCGGCCCCCTGCAGAGGGGAGCCTCCTCCCGCGCTCGCCAGGGCTCCCCGTGCGAGAGGGGCTGGCGCAGAGAGCCATCACCCTGGGGAAACGAGAGACCTAGCCGGAGCACCGGGGTGAGCAGGACAGAGGGGAGCGGGTGCCGAGGGAGGTGCTAGCGGAGCTTTCCCTGCCGGGAAAGCCTCAACGACGTGGAGAGCAATCCAAAGCTCTGGCCCGTGCTGCCTGAGCTGGTCCGAATCCCCCCCGCACTGGCCCACTCCAGGCAACCCGGCCAGCCGGTCATCTGCCGAAGGGCCGGCACGGCTCGTGTGTGGCTCGGGGCTGTGCCGCAGAGCACTCGTGCCGCATGCACCGTGAGGAAGGCAGGCGCGCTCTCCGTGCAGGACCCAGGCACAGGCAGCGCACATGCGGGTGAGCTGGACCCCCGCGCCATGGGGCTGGGTCCCCTTGCGCCACCCCAAGAGGTGCAGCGAGGGCCCGGGAGCAGAGGCAGAGGCAGAGGAGGGCGAGGAGCGCGGGGGGCGAGCGGCTCTCCGGAGGGCAGGGGTGCAGTGGGCAGGAGGGGCGTGCAGGCTGCTGGCGGCCATGGGGTGAGGCGGAGAGGTGCCGTGGGGAGGGGGACATGCGCAGAGTGAGTACCTGGTGCAGGGATGCCAGAGTCATCCTGGTTTTTTACCCTCCATTAGATCCCCACCAACACAAACATCCCCCAAGACAAAGCACTGGCAAAGCGGCTCGACTTCCAAGGGCAGAAACCAAGAGTTAGAAAGGTTACCAAGACAGAACACCCGAGGGCTCCGGTCCCGCGGCGCCCGAGCACAGCGTTCATGCGGAAGGCAGATGCTGACTGCACTACGTGTATCTGGGAAGTGCCTCCTACCACCAGTCACGCCAGAGCCCGGTGGCGCCCGGAGCCAGCTCTGTGCGCTGCCCCGGCCAGCCCTCTTGGCTCGGAGACCCGCTGCACCCAGAGCCAGCAGCTTCGGTCCCGGGAGCCCAGATCAGAGTGGGGTTAGAGGCCGTGGGCCAGCGTTAGTGATGCGGGGCCGGCAGTCATCATGAACCATGTTCCCCGTTGTTATGCAGGAGAGAGAATGCAGCCGGAGTCATGCCACCCCACGTGCCCGCATGCCGCTCCCCTAATGCAGGAGACAGCCGGAGTCATGCCACCCGCCACCCCCCGTGCCCACCCCTTCGGCAAAGGGCTGCAGCCCTCTGCTCTCTGCTCAGGAGCTGCCCGGGCTCAGCCACGCGCCGGGACCCGTGGGGCGCCCCAGGCCCCCCCACGGAGGGGCCCC